CAATTTATTTAACTATTAAACAAAAACAAATATTAAAATTATTGAAAACAAAAATATTATAAACAGAATTATAATAAACGCTTTGATTATAACATGAAATACACATGTAATCAGTATTTCAAACAGTCTTCATATGAAAGCACATAAAATTAAACACTTCTTCCCTTTATTTTCGTCCCAAAAATGAGTTTTTGTATATGTTTTCAGCGATTTTTTTAGTGAAATTCATTATGAATTGAATGAATGCCATCACAAGACATGGTATATACTATGAGTGCATATATACTCTCACTCTCGGCATACATGTGTCTATCACTGCACCGACACATTGAGGTTTTGGCGGTATAAAAGAGTTTCCATTATATTCCTATGGAATTCAAATGGTTAGATCAAAAGCAACAAAAATATTGTACCCTTAATTATATCTACTCGACGGTTATTTTTAGTTGAAAATTTCAGTGGGAACTTTCGGACCAATTAATGACATGCTAAATCAGTGTTATATAAATTTATTATAATGGCTATTATTTACAGTTTGTTCTACAGTAGTTTTATATTGTTATTTTTAGTGATTATTAAAAATTTTGAAATTTTTTTATTGTGTTTTAACAAAGTTATCAATCTGATTGAGTAACATTGTTCATTTTTAATGCATAATTATTATAGCTTTTTAACATAAAATGATATTATAAAATTATACTGATTTATAAAAACAACAAGTTACTTTAACATTTTATATTATGTAAATTTTTATTAAAACTTTCAGCATATTTACATTTTGTTGAAAACAAGTCAAACAATTTTAAACGGTTTGGCTTTTGTATGGAATTTGTACCATTGATGTTTATAAATTTATAATATGTGCAAGGGTATATAATTATTTCCATAGAAAATTCTAGTAAACAAATATTATTACTTATAATATCTTTAGGTTTAACAAGCATAATCGAAATTATACAAAAATCAACCATGTTAGATATCTTAATATTTTCTATTGGAATGACACAACAAATTTCTTGGTTACTATTCTTGTAAACGAATAATAAATTTATATAAAAATATAAAAACAATTTTTATAGTATAGTAATAGTCTATTGGCACGAGTTTTGAATTCAAACATTTTTTGTTATAAATTTTAACTAAAAAAATATTTTTACAAAAATATGCACTCATTTATTGTACGTTCAGTGAAAAAACTAATAGAAAATAGATTTTTGTATTTTTTATATTCAATATATTCTGTCATTTGTTTTTTTGAGTGAAAGTTTGACTGAAAAAAATATTCTCAAAAATAAGTTTATTTATAAACTTTGTGCTGAAATGTACTGTTCATTCAATTAACGTTGATATGCATGCAATGTATTTATAATTATAGATATACGTATACATATAATATAAATATACATAATATATAAATATATGATCCGTATATACTGTATATATAATCAATTTCGACAGCACTTCAAACGGTATTTCAAATATGAGTCTCTATTTAAGACATGAAATGTACTGAAATTTTGTTGAGAAATAAATTTTAGTTTTTGAGTTTATTTTTACACCAAAAATCGTGTCTGAAGTTTGTTGTTTAAATAAACCAAACGTTTAAATGCTTACATTGAAAATACAAAATTTAAATATAATAATAAAAATGCAATTCAATTATAATTGAAAACAGAAATTTATAATATTGTATATAATTTATTGTATGCTATAATATATGGAGATTTTTCCCATAAGAATAATATTTATACTAAATTTATTATTTTAGATATTGTTTGGCAGGAATTTATCGTCAATTTTTAATAATAACATTTTAGGTAATAATTTTATGTAAACTGTATTCTAATGTTTATTCCAAATTGAATTTTGATGTAATAAACAGGAAATCTATAGTAAATTGTATTTAAAATTTTAATTGTTTAAAACTGTTAACTTTCTGTAAACATTTTGGTGCAATAATAATAATGTATGCATATAGGCTGTAAAATTATAAATATTCTAACCATGTTATTTATTATAATAGATCATGATTATCTTAATGGACTCACAAGACATTGAGATCGCTCTATAATTTATAATTAAATATATTTTTTATAATAACTACTTTCATATTATTTTATATTCTATGCCATTATATCCAACACTTTCTTAATGTTTTGGCAAATATTCAAAGAAATATTATATAATTATTTGATTATAGTATTTATAATAACTAATAGATAGCAGTCGTGTAAATTTATTGTATAAGTAATATACAATAATTCAAATTGATTTTAAGTTTTAAATTAAAAATATGTTAGACATATTTTTTTTATAAATTATATTTTTATCAAAATTTAAATATCTAATGATTTGTTAAAACTGTAATATTTAATAAAATGTATTACTTATATAAATATAATTTTTAAAATGCAATTATCCTGGTACAGTTATGTATGGATGTTCATATTATTAATTTTTTAATTATTATTTTAGGTTTATTAATGTTCTATGCGTTATATAGGTAAATATACTGTACTTTAATTACAATTATTTTATAGTTATTAATAATATTAAATATATTAATTTTAATTTACATAATTTATGTAACATAAACAATGCTAATTTTAAATTTCATTGTAGATTATTATTACTAGCACAATATTATATAATACCATAATTTTAGTGTGTGGTTTAGTCCTTTAATAATAAACACATTTTCTATAAACTAATCTCTAAACACATTTAAATCCAGCTATTTTTACATTTATCAAAACAATTCTAATTTTATAAATTTAATTTTTACTATTGTTCAGATAAATTGTACTGTATATATTTTTAAATTTTAGCTGTTTTGTAAAATAATTAATTGAAAAATAATATCTTGTAAAATTAATATAATTATATTGTTAAAATAAGTGTTGCTGATTAATTTGTAGAAAGGTTAATTTCTATACAATTAAATTACATGATTTAACTCATGGTAATTCATGCCACCAGAAGTCGTGGTATAGTTTTGTACCAAAATTTTGGGCCAAAATCTGATGACAAGAAAACATTTGTATTTCACGTAATAGTCAGCGAAAAAACAAAATAAAAGCAAAACACTTTTCACTTGTATTTATGTTATATAAAAAGGTGACAGAAATTGTATTGTTTTTATTTTTACTGCACTTAATGTAAAAACAGTTTAGTTAATACACTAAACATGATTATTTTTGGTAACACTGCATCTTACAAGTTAGGGGTGAAATTAGCAGTTTAACTAAATAATGTACTTTATATATAATATTTATATAATCATTTTAATATACGTAACATATTTAAGTAAATAGCCATGTGTTTGTAATGAGTATTTTTCATTTTTATTGTTGAACATAAAGTTAGTGAACATTTAATTAAAAATAATAATTTAAAATAATTATTTTAAAAGTGGTCAAAACGTTGGGTTTGTGGAGACATTGGAGGGGGAGTATGTCGTAGGTAAGGGATGGGTATGCGGTATAAAGTTTAGTCCATTTGTTAATAACAAATATGGGTTAAAACTAATCAAAAATTATTGTCAATATATAAATCAAAAGTAAATGACCAAAAATTTAATTAAAAATTGTTACATTAAACTAAAGGCAGTTTCACTTAAAAACATACATCTAATAAGGACAGATTATATGGGGAATATGGGATTGAATAGGGTTGGGTTGGGTTGGGACGACCAAATCATTAAATTTATTTATATAATAATAATAATATTTAAAATTTAAATAAGATAGAATTGATATTTTTAAACAAGTTAAACTCTCTATGAGATGGTGATAGGGTAGGGACTGCCGGGTAGGTTGAGATCCTGGAATTTGAGATGTAAACGATAATCGCCGGCCTGTTTGGGCGTAAACTGTACGGTAATCGTCATGTCCTTGTTATTGACAAAATTGACCTCGGGCGTGGACGGGCCCTCCATGGCAAAATTAATGCCCCCCGTAATGCCAGCCTCCTTACAGTCAATATACACTTCGTTCACTTTGTTGGCCACGCCTGCCGTCAGGTTAGGGCCCGAGACTTTCACTTTGTCCACGTATTTCTGGTGGGTTTTGTTGTCGCCAGTGATCCGGCAGTTATAGGGCGAGCCTATGATGTCTTTGCTGTCGTACTTAATATGTATGCGGTATTCGCCGCCCACTTTCGGGTTGTAGTGCACCTCAACTGACCCGTCCTTATTGTTGTGGAAACTGATCTCCGGCTTTGATGGACCTTGTTTATTTTAATTAATTAAGTAAGTAATTTTTTCTGTTGTTGAATGGTAATATAACTAAAATTTTTAGGTTAATTTCATAAGAATTTATTTTGGTTATTATGATTACTTAATAGATATTGTATGCAGTTTTATTATCTAGTATGTGTATAATAATGATGGTCGTTATATTTAAATAGTCTTGTCATTGAGTGTTAATTGAATAATAATTACAGTTATAGTTATAAATAGAGTTATCTATATTTTTAATCTACGTTGATTTTATTCTTCAATCTATATATATTTAGAGATATTTAAAGAGACACTTAAGTTAAACAATATGTATAATGTTAATGTCATTAAAACACGGTAATAATTACCCTCGAATGCGACGGTAAGTCCGGTCACATTTTTACCACTCGTGAATACCGTAAACTTGTTGGTCATACCAGCGATACCACTGATAAGACCCGATCCGTGCGCTTTGAGAGACATTTTTGATTTAAAAAATAATTAAAACTTAATTATAATAAATAAAATATAAATTATAACTATCGGTGATTACACTGAAACAAAACAAACAAAAATGAAATGCCAACTACAAAATGCCACCTTAATGGTATTTAAAATAATTTAATAAATGCCTTTTGTCTACCAAGTGTGTTATATCACTGGCACAAAGAGATTGATGAAATATCTATGGCACAGACTCTGAATGAGATGCTATTTTTTATCGTCAAAAATATTTATCCCACAATTACTTAACTGTGTTTTCACTGTGAATAGTATTTATAGCATTGTTTATAAATAACCTTATTTTTCATATACTTTGTGTATGCAATCAAAACGCTTAGAGAATACAGTGTTTTAGTGAAACAGAATATTCTGTGTATTTGTGTTTATGTTGACTGCAATATAATTGTAAATTTATATTGAGATGCGCTTATCTGAATATTCTTGGTATTAATAGTAATTAAAATGCAATTAAAACACATTGTGATATGTTATTAAAATAAATATTTATTAATGACAATTAATATAAGTAATTAGCTTATTGCAACAATAATTCGCCCGCCTTAATACAAGTTATATTTACATTAATAGTAACAATGTTTATACTATTAAACATGATAAAATCACATAATTATTACATTGCATAATTAACCCATAGTATATACACAATAATTATCATTAACAACAGAGTAGAAAATTGGCATATTTGATTACCATAGAAAAATACAAACATGCCTAATACAGTACCCATACACCGGGCCATGTATGGGCTACCAGCGCGACACCGACTCATAGTATGAGTGGGTGTTTTCGGGTAATATTTTTGCTGTTTTTTGCACTGATATATTACAGTGTGTTTTGCATTTTAATTACTATTAATACCAAGAATATTCAGATAAAGCATCTTAATATAAATTTACAATTATATTGCAGTCAACATAAACACAAATACACAGAATATTCTGTTTCACTGAAACACTGTATTCTCTAAGCGTTTTGATTGCATACACACAAAGTATATGAAAAATAAGGTTATTTATAAACAGGTCTATAAATACTATTCACAGTGAAAACACAGTTAAGTAATTGTGGGATAAATATTTTTGACGATAAAAAATAGCATCTTATTCAGAGTCTGTGCCGTTAGATATTTCATCAATCTCTTTGTGCCAGTGATATAACACACTCTGTAGACAAAAGGCATTTATTAAATTATTTTAAATACCATCGGGGTGGCATTTTTTAGTTGGCATTTCATTTTTGTTTGTTTTGTTTCAGTGTAATCACCGATAGTTTTAATTTATATTTTATTTATTATAATTAAGTTTTAATTATTTTTTAAATCATAAAATGTCTCTCAAAGCGCACGGATCGGGTCTTATCAGTGGTATCGCTGGTATGGTCAACAAGTTTACGGTATTCACGAGTGGTAAAAATGTGACCGGACTTACCGTCGCATTCGAGGGTAATTATTACCGTGTTTTAATCACATTAACATTATACATATTGTTTAACTTAAGTTTAACTTTAAATATCTCTAAATATATATAGATTGAAGAATAAAATCAACGCAGATTAGAAATATAGATAACTTTATTTATAACTATAACTGTAATTATTATTCAATTAACACTCAATGACATAAATATAAATTTAAATATAACGACCATCATTATTATACACATACTATATAATAAAACTGCATACAATATCCATTAAGTAATCATAATAAGTTATTATTAATAACCAATAGATTCTTATGAAATTAACCTAAAAATTCTAGTTATATTACCATTCAACAACAGTAAAAAAATTACCTAACTAATTTATAAAAAAATATACAACCCATTCACCAAACAACAGGTCCATCAAAGCCGGAGATCAGTTTCCACAACAATAAGGACGGGTCAGTTGAGGTGCACTACAACCCGAAAGTGGGCGGCGAATACCGCATACATATTAAGTACGACAGCAAAGACATCATAGGCTCGCCCTATAACTGCC